TTTTTGGGCACTTGTTATAAAATAATAATTTACACAACTAGTTCGGGATAGCCTGCTTCCCGCATGAACGCTTGTTTGCGTGAATACGGGAAGCAGGCTCACTAACGTGTTGTGTACAATATTTTTTGCAACGAATAAACCTTTAAACTGAAGAGATTAACTGTGAGTTATTTATAAGTAGAGCTGTGCGGTTGAAATTTATTTACCCCCACTATCGGCCCACAGTGCCGATCGCTACACAGCCTTGCCTTGCTCGCTTCTCGCTTTTCAGTTGTGGATTATTTTTGATAATTCGCACAAATAGTTTTATTGTCAGCGAGACGGACACCTGAACATTATTAAAATTATGATTACTCTTATTTCGTGAATATGGATTTTAAAATCATCAACTGACATGCCGTTAACATTATTTTTCGCGTAATTTTCTTCGCGATACATAACGTCGGTTGCAAGCCTATGGCCTGCCGGAGTGGGGGTCAATTCGCAGCGTTTAAATTTCAACCGCACAGCTCTATTTATAAGCAATGACATTGACAGCGCCGTCAACACGTCACAATGTTCACACTACCCGACTATTTTAAGGTTACTATGGCAGCGGAAAGTTAAAATGCACGTGTGCGGGAAGTTCGAACTCCCGTACCCCGGTAAATGCGCGAAAGCCATCAAAAAAGGTCATGAGTGCAAAAATAACTATTTTGCACTCATTAATCAAAAATCAAGTTATCACGCACTCTACGGGTACTTGTGTGCGAAAAACGTTTTTTTTTTCTTCTTTAAAAGAATGTCAGAAAATAAACTATCCTACCAAAGTTAAAGATTATAAGCTTGAATGTTACTTTTCAACTTGTTGTATGTTGAAAACATCAAGATTTGTTTGAAATAAATTAATGTTTGAAAAAGGATCTATTGGAAATTTTACATGATATTTGAAAATGCCATGAGAACGATCTATGAAAATGATGTAACCTTGTTTTTTTTTTCCAAAATTCACAGTTGTTTATTTACAATGCTAACATGGTAACGCCCGCTCACTACATACCCTACATTCTGTTGGACAAAATTATGTCATAATATGAACTTTATTATTTTTAGACGGAATATAAACAGGTATAAGAGAAAACTTAATTTTACACACGTGACAAAAATGCCAGTATAAGCTCGTGAGTCAGTATAACACTCGCACTTTATGCTCGTGTATACTACACTCACCTATACTGGTTATTTCTGTCACTTGGCCATAGGGATTTACTATGAGGATAAAGAGTTTGTAATTCATGGATTACTATGTGGGAGTAGAAAAATGTATTTTTAGCGTAAATTGCAGGATTATAATCCTGATATAAGCTTATAATTCACTTAGCGTAAGATAAGTTGAAATGTATTACTACTTACTATATTTATTTATTTTTTATGACTTAGGTTATACTTATTTTTTACATTTGGTTATACGTTGCACATAGTATGTGACATTAAACACGTCTAATTGTAATATTATAGAGATGAACGTTCTTAGCGAACTACACTGGCAAGTTAACATCCTTGTAATTTTACGGCACTCTGAAGAGGCCTCTAATTATTTAATAAAATTAATAGGTAGCTTCATACTATTACGTATGCTATTAGCTACTCCTCAACGTTGCTATGGTTCACGTCACAATTGTAAGCCTCAGCATTAAAACAAATGCTCATTTTAGCGTGAAATATCCAGAAGCAATCAAAAGCGCGTCAGTCGGTCAAACCTTTTACCAATTTTTGTATTTGAACACGGTAAGAGAAGCAACTAACGAGGTGAACTGACCCGAAAACGAACCAACCTAGCTAGGGTGGTCTGGGGGCGACACACAACACCTGTGCACTTCCGGTGAGGATCGCCCTTCTATCCCCAAAGGGATCGCTGACTCACGGACATTACGTCTAAGCCCCAAGCAACGGCAGTAAGGGTTTTCAGAACTATTCCCCTGTTTCCAAATGAAAACAAAAATATAAGCGTCTCCACAAATACATTTCTTTACACTTTTTAAAAGTATTTGTCGATTTTATTTGACTGATCTACACACTTGTCAATTTTATCTTGTCATGAAGACAATTCATAAATTATTATCAGTAAAACTCAGAACAAATGGAACAAAATGAATCTTTTGATTTAGAAGAAGAAGATGATGATTTAATTCCCTTGCTCATTGTGCTGTTTATTATCTTAGTAATACTACTCCCCTTTGTGGTGTTCTTACATCCAGCCGCTGGATTTGAAATCATTTTATTATTTATCTCCTTCGTAATCATGCTTTTAGAACCGTTAACAATTGTATCTGCAGAACACATAAGATTTTTCCTTTGCGGTATTATATATAATTGTAAACATTTATAAATAAACTATGTTTCAATCTGCACATACTTATTTATAATTTTTTTATATTGTAAACTTTAACAAATAATAACCTAGCGCCGCCAACAATTCGTATATTAGTTGTTAATTTGATATACGTATATAGACAGATCACCTTTCATTGTAACTTGTAACAACCATAAACAGAGCGTGCCAATGGTTTTCCGGCGAAAGATTTCCCGTAAATTATTAAAACAATTTTTTTCATTACTGATTCTGATAATAGGTATTTATTTTATTAGGAGTTTAATAAGTGATACTTTATGTGTCGAGTATGGACGATTAAACGCCGAGCGATAGCGAGGCGAATTAAGTCCATACGAGTCACATGAAGTCACTTAAACTCCGAATGAAATACAATATTTTATTTTCAAACGATTAATCTTCTTTTGAAATGATTATTTCCTATTAGTCTAAGAGCCAGTGGCCGGCTACCTGTATGTAATTGACCAGACCTCGAATTTTGTACAGAGAATCTCCTCGATCCAACATACAAGGACTGAGGACTCACTAAGCCCAGCGCGGCTGGCGTAGCTGGAGCTCAGGTACGCCAGGTATCAAAAAATGACTAATTTTAAATGCATTTGACCATGTCTGCCATTTGGATATTTTGAAATATATGTTTATTTTTATTAAAAAATAACCATGGCAGACCATTATCACGCGTCTAACATCGTGGCAGACAATTTTGAAAGTGCCAAAAAATATAAAATTTTCAAACTAATTTTGACCAAGTCTGCCATTAATATATTTTGTTGATTGTAGTCTTAAAATATTATATTTATCACGGCAGACGTTTTTATTGAGTACCTATACACTTCAGCAGATAACAAAATCTTAACTACTACCCGAGCAGATGTATAAAAATGACGCATTATATCTTACATTTATTTCTTCTGCTTGAAATTAAATTTATTGTTGTTTTTAAAAATTGATATTTGATTGTATAATATCATTAACAGTTCGATAAGAATGACAGTTTCGAAAGTTCAAATGTATCAGTTGATTACCGACAAATGATACCAGTTCATCACTACACCAATGTTTAAAAAAGAAATCAATGGGAGCTTCTTTAAATTTCGTATTTTTTATCTCCTTTGTAAAATCTGATGGTCGTACCTGGTCAGGCCCAGAAATTGTGAAATCAATTAACGGTGCGTCATGTCGTAGACTTCTTTCATTGTCTTTTATAGATGGATGCAAATATTGGTCGAAAATTACGTCGATTCTTCGTGCTGGATATTTTGTTATCATCTGCAAAAATTGTTTGGAAATATTTTCTAATGTTTTTGGTACTTCTTTCATAGAATGAATAGCGGATTTGACAGTTTTACAAATACTACCATCTAAATGACATAAAGCAAGAGGTACAGGAGTTATCGGATACGATATGTGAATTCCTACAGAAATATAAATTTTTAAAAACAACAATAAATTTAATTTCAAGCAGATGAAATAAATGTAAGATATAATGCGTCATTTTTATATACCTATCTGCTCGGGTAGTAGTTAAGATTTTGTTATCTGCTGTGTATAATAGGTACTCAATAAAAACGTCTGCCGTGATAAATATAATATTTTAAGACTACAATCAACAAAATATATTAATGGCAGACTTCGTCAAAATTAGTTTGAAAATTTTATATTTTTTGGCACTTTCAAAATTGTCTGCCACGATGTTAGACGCGTGATAATGATCTGCCATGGTTATTTTTTAATAAAAATAAACATATATTTTAAAATTTCCAAATAGCAGACATGGTCAAATGCATTTAAAATTGGTCATTTTTTGATACCTGGCGTACCTGAGCTCCAGATACGCCAGCCGCGCTGGGCTTAGTGAGTCCTCAGTCCTTGTATGTTGGATCGAGGAGACTCTCTATACAAAATTCGAGGTCTGGTCAATTACATACAGGTAGCCGGCCACTGGCTCTTAGACTATATCTTCTTGCTTCATTAAGGAATTGCCTTGATTTCACTTACCATGGTTACTATGGTTGACAACCACTATGATTTTCACATATTTATACTCCGGTGGAGTATAAATGTTTTATTTATACGCCGGCGGAGTATAAGTAGTACTTATACACCGCTCAAACACGGTGTCATAGAAATGACACTTAAACCCCGGTAAGAGCGTCATATAAGTGTCAGTTATATGACGTTTGAAAGTAAAGCTTATTTAGGACTACAATTAAAATTATTTTCAAATGAAGAGAGTATTTGAAATATCCTACACATTATTATAAATTCAGCTTAAAGAAGAAGAAAAATAATATCATATGCAAAGGAATTTTAAATAACAGTAAATCCTAAATTAGCATACCGTATTTAAACGAGAATCTAGACTTTTACATAGATGTCAAAAAATAAAGAGTGTATGACTTTCTTTATTATATAAGTGTGAAATTAATGTTAGAAACTATAAGTCTGATTACATTTTTCACTTAAGATACCCCGTAATATACATATATGTATACTTTCGAGCTTATCTTTCTCTAAGCCTCCTTTTTACGAGTATGTCAGATTTGTGGAGATTTATTCTAATTGTTCCGTTTTTGCATGAAAAGAAAGCTTACTTATGGAGCCTCATTTGAGAAAAACATGAGAAAAATCAGTTCGCTGGCAAAATGTCCTTTACATGTTGGAGAAATAAACCTTTAACAACATCCAGCTTGTACGTTCTATTATTTTGGGCTACAAAATTTTTTTATTGAGCCCAGATGAGTTGAATTGGATTGAACTCGCAATGGTAAGGCGGTAAACGTAGTACAATTCTTCCCGCAGCTTTCGCTATTTCGTCCACAACGCATTTATTTTCCAGTGGACGATTTTCTCTTACCAATTGCAGCAACTCCACTTTGATCATGTCATATTCAAAAGCAATGTTTTTACTTTCCAACCAAGCTTGAATTTCTGCTTTTCTCATATTTGCAGTTGGTACTTTCTCTGACCTTCTGCTGTTGTACGCAGTGTTATCCATAACAATAACTGCATTGTCCTCCACTTTTGTTAAAATATTTTTAAACCACTTCTCAAAAATTTCCAAGTTCATTTCTTCGTGATAGTCACCCTTTTTTTTAGGCTCGAAAATAAGTATCCCATCCTCTACGAAACCATTTTCACTTCCAATGTGAAGCACTATTAAACGTTTACCTTTTCCACTCGGATCTTTCACGCCTGTTGACAAATCATTAAGAAATGCTTCTCTGGCACTTGTGACAGTTGAGTTAACCCATTTTTTGGTAATGGTGTGACCGGCATTGACCCAAGTTTTATCTAAATAATAAATCATTCTCTCTTCCTCCCTGTATTTTTTTATTTGTCGTAAATACCGCCTCCTCCAGCCACAACTTCGTCTTTTTCTTTTAATATAATGTTTGGATTTCGCTTACTGTAACTAAACCATGGTGTTATTGATTGAAAACTACAAATCTTATTTCGTCTCACCGAAAACCTATTTCTTCTAATAAGAGTCTCAGGGATGTCCTCTTAAAATTAGGCCAACTTTCGTTGTCGTTAACAGCAACCAAAATTTTATTAATGGTTGGCTGCTCATTCCGTACAAAGAACGTACCATTCCTTTAACTCCTTCATCGATACTGTCTAGGACTGGCCTTCCTCGATGGTATGGCTTCGGTGACTGGAATGCACCCCGTTCTTTATGTTCCTTTAAAATGTTATAAACACTGACCACACTTACACCTACAATAAATCACATGTAGCTACATTTGTAGTAAATTTTCTTTATCACAATACCGTCAGCCTCTTCACTTAATTGCACAATGTCTGACTTCGAAGTATTTGGATGATTTTCTCGAAGTATCTTGAATATGTTCAAAATGGCTTCTTTGTCATCAACGAAAACCCATACGCCGCCCTGATACGACGCCTATGGATTTTCTCGAGGGCTTTCTAGTATGTCCGGCGATGATAGGTGACTCATCGTCGGTGACGGCGGCCGGGCGACGTTCGCTAAAGAAAAGCCTGGAAGCGGAAGTCGCAATGGGTACTCTAGAAAATCCTCGATTGCGGAACATCTAGAAAGGAAGTATGGGTTTAAGTAGAGGCCATCTTCCGGAACGAATTCATTCAGTTAACGACAGCGAATCCAGTCAAGTTGCGCTGGAATTATTTTATACATAATTGCTGTGTCGTGACACCCTTTTGCAATTTACGCCTCTATGGCACAGGAGCTGCAGGGGCGTTAATTATGCAAAATATAATTTTAAGATCTAAAACCACTGAATAGTGCGCACATTGGGTTGAAGATTTATGTACTTTAGCTTTTTCACTGAAATGCACCAGCGTCATATTTTCAGTAAAATTTTTTCAGTTTTTTCCAAGATTCCAAGCAGTAAATTTTAAAACTTCGATGTGCTGCGTCCTATTCCGGCCTCTATTTCGACGATAATATGATTAATAAGTCTGCTACCGTGGCAGCCGCTGCTTCGGAAAGTTCTTCAAATTCTTTCATTTGTTTTGCAGAACCGTTTTCGAAATTCATTTTTTTTTTTACAAAAATAAAAATCTCTTTAATAATTGCCTTGGAATTTTGCAATAACTGTTAAATATTTTATCGTTCACTTACTTGTTAAACTCTCTCATGCATGCTGGAGATGATGTTTAGCTACTCTTAACATTCACCTTGAGTGTCAAGAAATCCTTAACGTGCACCTCGAATACAGTTAAGAAAAAGCCATGACAACACTACATTATACAGGGTATCTATAAATGATTATAGCGTCGCAGTAGGGCATGTAAACGTGTCGCCTCTCAGATTTGAACTGTACTAAATGCCCAAAGACGCATGACAAAGACCACACGCAACTGTATAACTAGTTACCTAAATGCTTCATATGTTTTTAAAAAATAAAACTAATTCATTACAATAAAAACAAACAAATAATTTACGATTAAACATATCAGTAAATGTCCAAATTATTCACCATGTAGTTCAAGGCACATGTTCACTCTCTTTTTAATTTCAAAAATATTCTTTAATCCTTTCGACAACACCCATTTTTCAATTTCATGTTCAACTCCTGACTACTGATGAAAAATTTTGTCAAAGATGTTTGCGGATTCTGCTCAAATGGTTTCAAATCAACAACTTCCACGAGATTTCTCTTTGTTGACACTGCCAGTTCGAACAAATCTGTTGATTACATCTCTAATGTGAGCCTCTAAGGATGTTTCTTGAATTATTAAATCACGGTATTTGGCCAGATATTCTTACTTACAAGCCGTTACAGAATACATACACTCTTCGTTTACGAAGTCCCATTGCTATAACAAGACATGACAATGAAAATGTCTTGTTCAACAAAATAAAGCATTTTCACAATCTTCGCTTCCTAGCACAAAAACAAAATTTTCGGACGCAACCACCAAGAGTTTTGAAAACGATTGTTTTGTTATTTGGAGCTTGGATCCACGAGAATAACTGTAATTCACACTTGAAAAACGTTAAAACAATAAAAACGACGACTTTAAATGACAGGTTACAAATGAAATTAATGACAAGTGAAAACTGTCATAATGAAGCATAATTTCAGCGAAGCGGTATTTTTGAAATCCATGGCCAGCCAAAAGCCCTGTATTTCGCCACAAAATGTCAGACAAGTTTTTTTTTTATTTTATTATAATACCATAGCAAACTATATCCACAAACAATATGATTTGGATGAAAAAGTACTCCTAATTTGTTGTTAGATTTATCTAATTATCAATGTTAAGTCTAGTTTTCCCTTCTACGTTAATTACTAAAAACTGTAACTTTACTGTAAGTGTTACAACTTTACATAATATTGTTTCAATTTTTCGTCCTCTGGCTACAAATTGCAACTTCTAAAAAATCACGCATTTCATTTCCTAATTAAAGTATAATGTACTATTTTATTATATTATGTATTATGTATTTGATTGCAGTTGATTCTAAATATATGTCTATATATATTATGCAAGACCCTTTGATTAAATCTGAAGCAACTGCACTTTACCTAATTAAAATCCTCAAATATACTATAAGGAGAAATTAAATAATTCGTTCAAATCATTGTAGAAGTACATAATTAAAATATCTCTCAAGCGTTCAAAATGTTCCAATTAAATGTAGTCTCCAGCAAATAACTTGATTCCTCTTCAGTGAAGTAAAGTTTTAGTCGAAATTGAACCTTATACGTATCTGTCTACTTATAATACAGGTTACATATTGCACATTTGTCATTACTATAGTTGAAAATGAATATAAACATAAAAATAAAAAAATGTTAAACTTTGTTATTTGGGTATTTTGTACGTGATATTTATGTCTGAAGTTATCCTACTAGGCACCGTATTCGTACATGTATTCTAAAAGTAATTTAATTTTGAATGTTTGTTGAAATGCTGTGACCTAAAGTAAGTACACATTTGAGTAAACAGCAAGTTTGCATAACGATGGATGAAGATTAAAGACTTTAAGCACTATTTGTTTACGTAAGTACATAGGATGTAAGAGAGAAACAAGAGCAAATATGTTTATACCGAAGGTTGAACTGAAAATTGAAAAATGCATTATTGATTTGATGAGAGAGGGCAGTGTCCACGGTCCAAATTAAAATAGGTTAACAATTTAAAATAAATATACAACTTTATATCGATTTGTATCAAAATATCAAAACTTGCAAAAATTTATATAAAATTTAGTGAAATAGTTTTTGTTTAAAAAAAGTTTTTGTTAATTAGGCAACGGACAATAATCACGCTAATGGAAATAGTATTTTGCTATTCTATTTTCTACTTTTACAAGTTTGTAGAATAAAACGGAAATGCTTCACTTCTCATTCGAATGCTCCTTATGAAAGTGTTCCAATTGTTATTGTTGTTATTGTTGTAACAGTATGTTACTAAGAAGTGTGTAAAACATTAAAATATTAGATCAAAAAACGTGAAGACATCCGTTGTGTACAAACTGACAAAAATTCTGAAACAAGTAATAGTATTTAACATTACTAGCATGGTAAAAGAGTTTTTACTGGCGGACAGAAGGATATGACTGGCGAGCCGTAGGCGAGCCACTCACCTTCTGGAGCCAGTAAAAACCCGTTACCTTGCGTGTATTGTTCAATATTTTATTTGTTTCTCACTTGTAAATGACTATTATAAACTATTAAAAACTCTAGAAGTTCCAATATTTGAAGAAACATCGTATGAGCTTTAGACGTATTGCCTTGGAAACGCACGTCAGCATGGCACTTATCATAGCAGTTATTGTGTTGTCTAGTTTTGTCATTTACATTTTTCGACTTATCGTTTTCGATGTATTGAAATGAGTGTGGCGCAAGCTAACTATATTACTGAGGAAGCAGCAATTGTGAGTGAAAATTTGCCTGAATAAATTTTGGCTGTCATTTCAACTTATAATAGTTTAAAATACATGGTTGTATGAGCACGAGCAGGGCTGTAAAAATCGTCCATATATATATAGCCAGTCAAATTTATAATGGTTTAAAAAGTTTAAAATACATGGCTGTATGAGCACGAGGAAGGCTGTAAAAATTTTACTGGCTAGCCAGTAACATTTTTTACAGGCTATAGCCAGTTAAGTGACATTTTCATGTTGAATACAGTGACTTGGTAAATTGATGTTTACAAGTGAGGAACAAATAAACTAAATTTTACGCTTTTGGTGTTTTAGAAATAACAACGTTAAATCATACAGCTTTGACAGCTTTCTTGAAAATTCCAGTTTTGTTCGTAACAGCCGTCTGAAATTGCGTGTGCTGTTGTCAAATCATGTTCTTGAAATTTGCAATGAGTTTATATATACTTATTTATTTTATGAACAAACTATCGTTACAGTAAAAAAAATTGATGTAAAATTATTTCAACAGAATTTCCTTCGCGTTTGAAGTACAATCAAATAAATGCAGTTTCTTAGATAAATGATGAAATTTAGTTTTGCGGATTTTAGTCTTTTGAAGATAACGCCTTAAGTTAAAAACTTCCCTCGCCTACAAAGTAAGTTACATTAAATCCAGTTGTTTCAAAAAAATTAAAAGATTTCATTTTGCGAATTTTATTTTTTTATGACAACCTTTTATAAGTTAAAATAAAGATATGTATGTAATGTTCAAGTGAAGATAAATAAACGTGTTACATGTTTGTTTTGTAGGTAAGCAGAGAAAAATGTTGTCCCTCGCTGGGAGTCGAACCCACGCCTCTATGCTTTCCGGGCAAGTATCTTTACCACTGGACCACGAGGCCACTTATCTTTCTCTGCTTACCGACGTGTTATTGTGCCGCCACAGT